CTTCACTTTTCCTCCCTACTTCTCCCCTTCTCTTTCAGTCTACTTACTGCTATTCCCGGGTTTATTCCTGACCCTTTCCTCTACATTGCTCTACACAGGCCAGTCACCTTCACATCTGCCAGCGTTGCCTCTACTAACAAACCTTCTCTTTCCAGCCTCACAGGCAAATCTGTTTCATAGAGTTTCATTGAGAAGTAGGGCTGGATGGGACCTCCACAGATCGTCTAGTCCAATCCCCTGTCTGAGACAGGATCATCAAACTATCCTATACATCCATTGTCTATCCTCTTAGCAAAACTACACGGTCTTTCCTGACACAACACAAGACACAATGACCTAATATGCCTCAGGTAAAGCAAGAGGATGATGGTGGTTAATGTCCTGCTGCTGTAAAAATTATATATGCTCAAGAGATCCCAGAAAGGGCCATGTCCCCCTCTCCCCTCCACTACAGAGGAAGGCAAAATCCCCCACAGTCCATACCAAACCTGACCACAGGGTAAAATGCCTTCCTGAACTGTTATTCCTGCTATTCAGGTCCCCAGCGTGTCTCACCTTGAACACTGCAAAATCCTCTTTGGCCTTGCAAATGTCCCTTTTTCAGCTTGGAAAATGCAGCCGTTTAAATCACCTTTCACCCAATCTGATCACTTCACCCCCACCTTTGAATCTCCCCAGTGGCTCCCCATTTGCTGTCTGAGCAGTCAAACTACGTGTCACCTTCCTCAAGGCTCTGTAGCATTCTCCTCTTCCTTATCTGTCCTTGTTGAGCTTCACATGGCCCCATGTCCCCTGTACACTGCATGCATTCCCACCTGTATCTGCTGCATTCAAACAATCAACTGGGACTTCTTCCAACCACCTCCCTATTTACAGCCTGGTCTCCCTAAGGTTATCTGAAAGTCCTCTTCTTTCAAGTTTTAAACCTCTCAGAAACCCAAATCTTGCAATACAGACACACTCTTTGTTATTCCTCTTCCATGGCATCATCTGCCTGTCTATCCTGTGAGCTCCTAAAAAGGTATGGACAGACACTTCTTGCGTGAGTGGAAGCCCTCAAGCATGTCTTAGCCCATCACTACAAACCAAAAAATTACAAGCAACAACATAGCCACTGCCCTATGCACTTTACTAATATACGAGTTAAGCATGAGTGACGAAAGAACAGAAAAATGGGTGAGCAAGGGGAGCAAGCTGGACAAGGGAATATCAACATAATCATCTAGTTGCAACTCTGCCCAGGGCACTCACAGTGGATAGCTTCAACAAGCTTTGTGGCAAAAGTGAGTCTTAAGGAGACAGTTGAATGAAGTGGGGGTGAGGGTAGCTTCATAAACTGGTTTTGGAGATTAAGCCAACCAAAGAGAGCCTGGAGAAATGTACAGAGATGATTATGTGAGAATGAGTCAAAGGAGTGCTAAGTCTGATGCATTAGCACAGTGGAAGGACTGGTGGGGAGGGGCCACTTGAAACGCCACTTAAGAACATTATAAATGTAATTGTGCCAGTACAGATGGACAGCATTCAGAAGTGTTTGGCACCTACCAGTTCTCACTCCATTCAAGTCAATGAGATTCACAAAACTATAAAAGTTAGACCAAGGAAATAAACACATTGGCCTTGATTTTGCATTCTTGTGCTTGGATATACAAAACAGAGCAAGAAGCCGAAGTGGTTTCAGGTCATCTTTGAGCCTTCTACAACTTGGCTCCAATCCTCTATATAACTCAAAGAAGCCTCTGCCCAGGAGCCATGTGCAACTAAGAATTAGAAGATATTCCCAGAACCTCCCTCCGCCCATGATGCAGACATGTCTTAGCTACACTCCTGCATGTTAAAGCCACACGCTACTGTCTTTCCATCTAGTTATAGTTACCAAACATTTGGACAAAAAAGCATTTAATCAAAACAACCATTTGCACGAACTGCCCCCTCCCCCCCGCAACTCAAGATAAATACTATGATACAGCCAGTCAATCCAAAATAAATTACTACATTATTTGGGACTGAAACAAAATTTGTGCACACCATGAGCATTTATGGATCAATCTCAACTAGAAATTCTCATCTGTGTGCTTATAGCCTTTTGAATTAGATTAAAATTAAGTTTTCCAGTAACATAAATAGGCTATGTTATTACTAAGAGACATAAGTAGGTACATTAGCAAAGAAGTTTACACTTAAAAAATCCAACAATGATAGTATTTCCCAGGTACCAAAGTCTCTAAGAAAAAAATTATTTAGATACTGAAAGCATATTTGGAAAAATAACACATTAAAATGTCCAAAGGGCCAGAGTTAAGTTTGCTCTCTTGCAATGAAATATACATTATTTTGTACCTGATAAACAATTGACCTGATTACCCTCCACCTTGTAACTCATGTGGGGTCTTATGCCTATGTAATGTTGATGTAAAACATTGCCTAATGATAATACCAGTGTGTATAATATTTTACATCCATTTTGCGAGTGCAGGTGTCTATAAGGAGGCAAAGTAATGGGAAGCAGGCCCAATGTATTTACATTTATTATGTGAGAAAGATATGTGTGCTGAGTTCTTTCTTTGAATTCAGCACTTCAGCTTTGTAGCCTGTTGTTAATCCACAGTTTTAAATGGTTTTTGACATTTCTTTTAACAGAGCAATTCAGAGCTGTAAGCCAGGCAGCAACACAGAGAGAAACTAGCACTTCTAGGCATGATACAACTTTCCAGCAAGCATATTTCCAAACAAGGGATGTGTTTTTATCATGTATATTTATAATAGCTAGTTCTAAATAGAAGATAAAAGCTCCCTTTTCTTTCAGCACCATCTCTTTCCTTGCTCTTCAATGGGCAGTAGCACAGAACTAGTGAAGGACACTATTTCTGTAGCAGATGGGTCTTTCTCACATCAGAAATTGTTCCTCTGAGGTCAGGGGGAGGAAAGGGAAGAGGAGAAGCATTTTCTGCCAGAAACAGTTACCTCATCAGGCTATGAGGAAAGGTGAAGGGAAAGTTTCAGCCTTCATCATCCTAGTGCCAAAATAAAGGGGGTGGGGGTGAGGAAGCACTCTTCAGGGGCAGGAGGGGACAAAAAAAAGATCTGCAGGCTAATGTCAAAACCTGACAGGGAGGCAAGGCAGGCTCTGATGCCCCAGCTTCCTCCTGCTAGAGAGGACTCGGCTGTTTCCATTGTGCTGAAAGTGGCTTAAAAGGACCCATTTTCTGGGTGTTTCTTGTCCTGTCTTCTGCCAGCTTCCACCTGTGTGGGCTCACACACACACACACACTGCAGCAGTCTTCCCAGATCTGTTCACTTCAGGTTTCCGAAGCTCAGAGGGGAGGCAGGGAACCAGGAACAGCTGCATTACAGGAGACGATGCTCCAGCGCCTCATCCCATCGGACCTTTCTTGAGCAGGAGGCAACACGGGCACAGACTAGATAGGACATCTGTAGCAGATCTCGCCCAGCTGCCTCCCCCCACCCCCCGGCTCGGAGGAGGAGGAGGAGGAAACTGCCATTGCAACGGGCTTGCATGCCAGGTGTGCAACAAACAGCTCTGCGTTAGGACCCAGGGAGAACTGCTCTAGTCAGAGCCCAACGCGCCTGCGTTGTGTTGAAGTGTCCGGAGACCGGGCTGGCTGGACTGAGCCGCTAAGGCGGTAGCACCAGCACCAGCAGCAGCAGCAGCAGGAGCTCCCCGGCCCCCAGCTGCCAGCATCCCCTGAAGCAGCAGGGGCGGAGAGCCCGGCTGCATCGCCTTCTGCTGCCTGATCCGTGGGGGAAGGAGGAATAAAGAGCCCCCACCCCCCTCATCCGCCCCTTCTCTCCTCTGCCGTTGCACCCCCTGCCCGCCCCCCGCCGGCTTCCCCGGGAACCCGACGCCCGGCGGCGGAGCCGGAGCCCGGCGCGCGGCGCTGTCCGTTCAGCACCACCGCTGCGCACCGCGGGCACCGCTGGAAGCCGCCGCTCGCCGGCTCGTCTCCCTGCTTCGGCCGGAGAGCAAGGGACGGGCATCGCCGGCTGCAGGTCCCCGGGCGCCTCGAGGGCTGCTGCAAGATGTGATGTGGATCAACAAGAAGAGACAGAAGGGGGGACATCCCTAAGCCGGAGCCGTCTACTTATTGTCTGGATTCAGGAGCTGCAACTCGAGATTTGTTTGTTTGGGGCTTGGGGTTTTTTTTTTTCCTTCACCTTTTTTTCCTCCCTTCTGTAACATTTTCACTTCTTGATCTTCACCCCCAGATCATTGCTCTTTTTTCTTTTTCTTTTTTCCAAACCAAACCGGGATCGCTACATGTTGAGAGTTCCCCAGCACCAGTCAACGCTGAGCCTACCCGTCTCTCTAGGACTTAAAAGAGGTACATACACAAACAACTAAAATAATACTTAAGAGATTTGGTCTGTTGCTGGAGCTGGGCGTGAGAGTCCATCCCCTCCTACCCCCAGTGTGTGTCTGTGACTGTCTGCAACTCCCCCTCCCCTTCCCCACCCCCCAGCCTCCTTTTCCTTCTTCTGTTCTCTTGCTGCACCCAGCTATCCTCCTCCCAACTCAGAGGTGCCTTGAACAGCTGTCGGCACCACTGGATTCTTTTCTTTTCTTTGCCACATCCAGTGGAGGAAGGAACCTCCCCCTTCAACACACACATACCTGCCCAGCAGACCTTAGCAACTGCTCCTGGAGAGAGTGTGTGTGCGTCCTCCCTTCCCCCACTCCCCCACTTCCTGAGTGCTTGCTTAAAATAAAACAGTGCCAGAGTTTCTGATTTCAAATAGAAGGGATCTTAGGACTGGGAGCTGCCAACACTCACTTTCTTTGGTGCCCTTGGATTCATACCATCTGGAGCAAGAGGTGGAAAGTGCTGGGACCAGCAGGTACCCTTTGCCAAGGCGATCCCTGACCTTATGGATAAACGATTGGGTTATTGATTGCAGCTGAGCAACCATTGTCCCCTTATGTGCTTGCTGTGTGCCGTGCTTGCTTGGATGAGTCTGCGACATGCCTAATAAGAGACGAGATGGGCCAGGGCGATGAGAGCGATCGCATCGTGATCAACGTGGGAGGCACTAGGCACCAGACTTACCGCAGCACCCTGCGCACCCTGCCTGGCACTCGGCTGGCCTGGATTGCTGAGCCCGATGCCCACAGCCACTTCGACTATGACCCCCGTACAGATGAGTTTTTCTTTGATCGGCACCCAGGGGTCTTCGCCCACATCCTGAACTACTACCGCACGGGCAAGCTACACTGCCCAGCAGACGTGTGTGGGCCTCTGTATGAGGAGGAGTTGGCCTTCTGGGGCATTGATGAAACCGATGTGGAGCCCTGCTGTTGGATGACCTACCGGCAGCACCGTGACGCTGAGGAGGCTCTTGACAGTTTTGGTGGAGCGCCCCTGGATAGCAGTGCTGAGGATGGAGATGTAGATGGCACTGGAGACTCTGGTGATGGCGAGGAGGAGCTGGAGATGACTAAACGCCTGGCACTCAGTGACTCGCCAGATGGCAGATCGGGGGGCTTCTGGAGACGGTGGCAGCCCCGTATCTGGGCACTCTTTGAGGATCCATATTCCTCCAGATATGCAAGGGTAAGCTTCACACTCAACACTGTACTCAGCACACTTACAACCTGCCTGAGGTTAGCTCAACTTGCTACCCTCAGTATGGTCAGGACTACTTTCATTCAAGATCTGGTAGGCCCTAGCATTCAAGAACATGAGTTGATGGAGACCTGCAGTCTTGAGTAGACACACATGCATAGGCCCATGGGAATCTGTATTATAGAGCAGACACTAACTCACTGGCTTATGGATCCTTGTATTCTAGAATGGGCACTCACCAACGGGAGTGTGCACTCTAGGGCAGGCATTCAAGCATAAGCCTGTGAAGACCTGTGCCCTAAAGCAGTACCCTATGTGTGGACGTATGGAAAACTGCATTCTAGGTACCCTTGTACATGCATGGACACATGAATTTTTTACTTCCTTTGGACAGGAGAGAGATTAATTAAAGCAGGCAGTACATGGAGATTTGAGGACTACTTCCCTCCCTCTGTGTACAGCCCCAGTCATCCTCTAGTTTGGAGAGGTTCCCTTTCTAATTCCCCATGCAGATAACTACAGTATTCCTTCCCTGAGATAGAGAAAGGTTCATTCTCTGGAGCAGGGAGAGACAGGTTTGGTGACTTTTTGAGCATGAACTGGAAGGGCAGTCTCTTCTTTCCACCTCCTTTTCTGGGCTCTGGCAAATATTTCAGGCTGTGCTTTTTGAGACCTATTTCCCTTATTCATCTAGCTCATGTTTCCTTTTCATGGGAGGAGTGACAGATACTCTAGAATGAGGTGTACACTCATGGAGAAGGGATGTGTTTGATGGGCTTCTTACTGGGTACTGAAGAACAGCTCCTCCCTCCCAGCTTATGCAGTTTTAACAGAAAGGAAATGAATGCTGCTGCAATCCACAGCATAACTGTATGAGAGTGAAACAGCTAACTGACTTTTCTCTATAGGTACTGTTGGGGCCATGTTGTGTGGGATTAATCGGACATTCTTTGGTTTGTTGTGCTAATCTAGGGCCTGATTCTGCTCCTATTGAAGTCAGTGGTAAAGCACGCATTTATTTCAGTGGCAGCAGCTTAAACCCCTGAGGTAGCTGTTTGGGTAAGTAGGAAAAAATTAATGATGGATAGGGGAATGAACAGGGAAGATGGCTCAAACACAGTGTGATCCATTTGCTAAGATGCAACTGTCACCAGCCCTAAATCAGCATGGCTGGTTTACTAGTGACAGGATAGTTGACCTTCTGTATGAGAATCAAAGGAATAGGAACAGATTAAAGGGCAACCTGGAAAAAAATGAATAGATGGAAGAAAAAGGAAAAAATGAGGGGAAAGGGAGGGGAATAGAGAAATGGATTTGTATATGAATGGAAAGGTGGCTAATGGAGACTTCAGGCTAAGCAAAAATCTGAAATGTTAGGTCCATAAACTAAGTGAATGATGGAAGCTGGGACAGAGCCTGGTATAGTTTCAAGGTGCATTTTTAAACATTCTAAGACATCTCTCCTGAGATTTTCTGCTGAACAATGGAGTTAATATTTCAAAATGAGCTCCTTTAAATAACACAAAGTATAAAGAATTAATGAAATATTTACCATAACATGAAAGAATGATGCTGCTCTAGTGTAGCTTTCAAATCCTTCGTATCTGCCAAGGGAACGTGGAAATGAGCATGGAAAGCTGGAGGGTACTTTTCAAAAAGCTTAGTTTGCTTCCTGTAATCAGATGAAGTGTTAACATACATTGATTTTAAAAGCAGCTCTCTCCAGTGGCCACACATCTGTTACTGAAGTGCATCACAATTACAAATGGAATGCTTGTCCCATATTTTGTGGAAAGGGCTTACAGTAAAACTGGTAGTGTTTTTTTAGTTGAAAATTGTGCAAACATTGTCAGCGTTAGTAAAAACATTGTATTTTTCTACAGAACTATTAACATATTTTAGGGAGGAGATTGAAAAGAGTGATCAATACTAAAAGACTGTGTGATGGGTAAACTTGATTTCCACTGGGAGTTCATTTTTTGCACCTATGCATAACAACAGGTCTTCTACAAGATCATTCATATTCCTCTTTAGTTATTTCATAATTACATATCCACTTCTCTGTGTGTACACCTAGTTCAGCTGAGATCCAGATTTGCCCCAAAGTTGTCTGTTCCTCAGGAGAGCGATCCCCAGCCCAGGGTTTGTATGTTGTCCATGAGGTTCTCTGACATCGTTTGTGGTCTCGGGAAATTTAAAAGCTAAACCTTAGGTGGACAGGGACAGCAAAGTAGGATACTGTCTGAAGCACATTGTCAGTGTTGTTGCCCATAGGCCAGGGAAGATTGAGGACAACTGCCTTAAGGTACTGCTTGCTATAGAGGAGACTTATACTTTGCACTTTCAATAACAGAATTATTTTATTTTTATCTATAGGCACATAAGATTTTTAAAAATATTTTAAATATTAAAATGTATTTTAATACTTTCATGCAGACGGATAGTTGTTGTACACATGCACAAACTGTCTATGACAACATTAAAAGTTACTTAATATTTTCTAATAGAAGCAATAGATTGTGGTTATGGATATAAAGGAACTGGACAAGGTTGATAAATCCTGATAGCATTTAAGTGGCAGACAACACAAAAATACCTCAGAGTCATTAGAGCTAATGAAAAGCAAAATAATCAGTTGCTTCATATGGAAGGTATGGTAAAGAAATCAACAGCAAAGTACAGTCATCTAATTATATAACAAACTCACATGAATACAGTTCCATCTCACTGCTAACTACATAGACAACTTTCAATTACTTATATTCCATTCATATACCAAACCTTACATTTATTATTTGTCTATAAACATTAAAAGAAGTCATGACATTAGCTTATAGAATAAGTTACAAATGCTGAAGGCTGCATGTCCTTTATACATGCTTTCAATTTTTATCCCAATTATATCAAATTTATTTCTTAATGCACAATTTTATTTCTTTTTTATACTGTTATACCTATGCAAGACAAAAAATACAGTACACGGATTCAAATTTTTAACTGAGTGATAAAATCCCACAGATTATATGCAGTGACATATGTAAGCAGAACGACATTGTCCTAGACTAAAATCTACTTTTTTACTGTATACATTTTTTTCCTATCAATTTTCAGTTTCCTTCGTAAACATTCTCTGGAAAGATCAGCTTTTGCCCAAATCTAGTCACTTTTGGAAACTATTTATTTAATAGTTTTTACAAATATAGGCATATGCTTGACTAACTTGCTTAATTAGGGCCATCTTTAAAGACATGAAAGGTTCAAGGAACTGTTTGTAGGCAGTATGCTTTAGAATATTCAGTATTTAGAATCAATATTTGAATTGGCCATCTGAGTTAGATAGTATCATTTTCATTCTTAGACTGGATGACCAAGAAAAGGAGGGATGGAATTTGTATACAGCATACAATACTGGCTAACTTAGAAAGTTTTCTCCATTTCTATAGAACGTGCTCATTCTCTAAAACATAAGTTACTGGTCAGTAATAATTTTCCTTTAAAGTATACATGGTGCACTTATTGCAACCCAGGGGTTTATTTTGTTTTCAAAATAGCTAACTAGCAATACGCATTTAAGAAGTTAACTACTAGATTTCTAAATATTAAGTCCGAAAATAATTTGGACCTTCTAGAAAGATTGTTAACTTATGAATAAACATGTTCTAAGTCTATGGAGAAAACCCATATGTTTCTATATGGAGCAGAGCTGGAAGGGGTTAAGATAAATATCTCCCATGAAAAACAATGGACGCTGTACCCTCTATACCTTTGAGGATCTGGACATAAATGGCTAAGGAAAGATCTTATGAATGGAAAAGTAAAATCTAAGAATCTGATTGACAACGAAATGCAGGTAATTAAAGAGGCAGAGAGGCACCTAGTGTGATTTTTCAAGAAGACCTAGGCAGATTAGGAACCTAAATTCCATAGAAAGTTCCATAACCCACATTCATAAAGCTTACCAGAAGCCTATCTGTGTCCTTAGGCATTTTTGGAAATCTATCCCGCACCTAGTAAGTAGATGCAGAAGTAACACTTTAGAAAGCTCTATCCTCATCTAGTCTAAATCAACACTATTTCACCACTGTCAATGACATTGTTCTGATGTACTAAAAGTTACCCTCTGGCTTGCATATCCCAGTGGTTTGCACTCATTTATCACACACACATACGCACGCAAAAATACTTTCCTAATTTCCTTCTTACAATTCAGTTAGTTTTGTTCTGTCCTATAATGCCTGATCATGCAGTTCTTACTCAGGCAAAATTTCCACTTTGGGAGTTTAGCCTGGTAAGCACTCCTGGCAACCAGTGTCTTTGTCCTTTTTCTCCTAATCCTCCAGCAGGCCATGACTGTTTTGTTTGCTTGTTTAACTTGAAAGTTGTTAATTTTAGCCAGGGGCTGGAAACCCCAAGCTTTTGGTGAATTGGCTCTGCACATGCTCATGCTAAACATTGACTGCATTATCAGTAACCCTCACCAGGGTTTTTCCAGTACTTCCAAATACATTTTAATGAAAGTATTTGAGTATAACATGGTGCAGCCATAATCAAAACCATCGCACAGCTTGACTCTTCTCAATTGGGGACCTATACACTAGTTCTGTATGTGGAAGGCAATAAACAGATCAGGAAGTTAGAGCTAGAATATGAGAGGCTCACAGGAAGCACGAGTGGTGGCTTTGCATCATGGCCTTTCCCCATTCTTCCACAGAAACTTGCAGCAGCCCTTACTTTCTTCACTGGGTGGTCCTTGAGGAATGGTTTTACTGTGTTAGGAAGAGGCTGGGAGCAGGGAAATGGCACTCACTTTACAAGAGGATGTTCAACCCTGTTGTACTAATTTAGGCTAGCTCCTTATGAACTGTCCCCTGGGGCACTAGAGAAGGCAAGCAGGTGGGTCCTGTAAGGGCCATGCTGTTGTGGGCTGTGGGAGTGCTAGAATTACCCCTGGCTTCCATAATATCCCAATATCACCAATATCCCATGGG